AAAATTTTCTTTTTTTTATGTACAGTCATCCTCCCATACAATCACAGAGTTGGGTGCATAGTAAATTTTTTTAGAAATGTGCTTTTAAAGGTGGTTCCGTCATAATTTGGGGCTGTTTTTCGTCTCATGGTGTTGGTGGTTTTTGTAGAATCAAAGACTATATAGATGGTGAGTTATATCGTTAAATACTTTGTGAAGATTTTTTGAATACCATTAGAAACCACAGGTTTAATATTTGTAATATGATTTTTCAGCAAAACAATGATCTCAAGTATACAGCAAAATTGACAAAGTGTTGGTTAAAAAATAGCCACATTAAGTTGTTGGATTGGCCCCCCCAGTCTCCTGATCTCAACCTTATTAAACATTTGTAGATTGAGGTTGACTGTCAACTTAGAAACCTCCTGGAAAAAATTTTAGATAAAGAAGACCTGTGGAACAAGATTCAGGTGGTCTGGGCACAAATTGATGTTAAGATATACACCAACCTGATTTGATCTATGCCCGAATAGATTCATGATGTTATCAAGGCACGTGGTGGATACACCAGGTGGTAGAGGCCCAAAGGATTAAAATAGAAAAAAAAATTTTTTTTTTTATATGTAAAAAAAATTTTTTTTGTTTTATTATTGTGTTGCATTACAAATGATCAAAAATAATGCAACACGGCAAATAAAATAAAGTTCATTTTTATGAAAAATTAGGATCATTATTTTTTTTGAATTTTTTTTTTACATGAAACCTATAATATTCACGAATAAATTAAAAAAAAATAAAAAATAAAAAATAAAAGGGTACGTTCAGAATTACACGAAATAACGTGATCTAACCAAAATTTTTTTTTTGCTCCATTACTTATGATCGCCACTGTATCAATTATATAGCGTTTTATTAGTAAAATTTGTTTATTTCGGCCAAAATTAATTTGGTCCGGAAGCTCGGGTTACACGGAAAAGCAAAATTTTTTGGACATCACTAACTAGTTTTGGAAACGTTGATTATTCATCTTTATCTTGCATGTATGGTAGTAGAGATATTAAAATCTAACCCGTCGTTTAATGACGGGTCTAACATTTGGTAATAATAATAAAATAAAATTAAATATGTATATTAAAAAAAATTTTTTTTTCTACCAGCTTCAAAATTCGCAATTTGGTTGGTTGAATTTACTCAATTCGAATTATAACCGGATTCATGAAAGAGAATTCGAATTCAATCCAGATAGTCCTGAAAAAATAGGATCGAAGCTCTATTATTTAGATTGGGTAGGATTAGAACTCTATAACTTACTGTTGTTATACGTAGCAAGTTGTGACGTTATCGCATCTTTAGAAAGTTTAATATATCGAGTTTTAAATTTCTTTGGTAATATTATTATTTATTGTAAATTCGATAATTTTGACTTTAACCGATTTTTTGACCGGTCGAAACCAATAAAATATACTATATATACACTAAGTATTTTAGTCTTTAAATGAAAAATTTGTAAAAATACAATAGATAGATACCAAGGAAACCATATATAAATACAAGATTAAGAAAAAAGCTCCAATTGTTTTATTAAACCGTTTGACCATCCGGGTTAATCTTGTTTTCAATCTCTAGCATCTGGGTAAAAGCAACGGTTTGTGGATTTAAGAACGGGATACCTATAAAAAAAAAAAAAAGTCAGAAAATTTGCTAGTCATTTTATCTATGATCGTAAATCTTACTCAAATTATACTCTTGTTGATTGCTTGAATTATGTGCGGGCGCTGTAGGAAGGAAATTCTTCGGAATCAAAAGCCCAGAGTCTCTTTGCAAAATATTATTACGAACCCATTCTTGAGAGGTATCAAGTGGACTTGAAATATTTGAATATTTTAAGTTATTTAAATTATTATGAAAAAAACATCACATTTTCAATAAACATACTCTTGCATCTGACTTTCTGTCGGTAAAGGAACCTGCTTATATGTCACAGAAAAAAATTGATGCGTAGCCTTTGTTATTGCCAACCATTCTTCATCATAACTGAATTCCAGAGGTCCGTTTGCTTCAGGGAAATCTAAAATCTACTCAATATTGATTAAAATATAATACATAGCTAAAAATATACAATACGTATATAATAATATCGGTAGATAGAATTTATGATATAAACCTGTAAAAATTCGCGACCAGGCAGACATTTGTCAAGTGATAAAAAACGAGTATATGAACTCCGCGTATTGGAAGGAATTGATGAAGGAATTGAGGAAGCCACAAATTCTTCAAGATCTTCTAAATTCAGTGGCAATTCAGCGGTTATGTCATTCGCAATTGGCGTTTCCTCAGAGTCAATGATTTGTATCTCATCAGCATTATCGATATCATCGATGAAAGAGGGTAATTCATCCGGATCCGGATCATCTACTTCATTCTGATCGGTAACAACTTCATCAAGAGAGATGGGTATCTCATCAAGTGAGATGGGTATCTCGTCTGGATTTGGAGCTGTTACTGTTTGTGGAACATCATGAGGTATCAATGCAGCAAATTTGACGTGAAGATGCGCAGCAAACCAGTACCTTGGTTTTAATTTATAAAGCAGCAATTCACAATATGGATTTCCAAGTCTGATTCTTTCAATCTGTAAAGAAAAAGTGATTGATCGATTATAATACATTTTAAAATTTTTAAGTGACTATTAATTTCTTCTACTTACATCTGGTGCAAGACCTTTCTTTATTTGTTTAAGCCTTTTCTCATCTCCAAATCTTGTTATATTTTCAGGCCAATCATGAGAAAGGATTATGTCTATAGGTTGTCTAATCTGTTCACATCCGCTTGGTGTAAGTATGGATTATTGAAGAAACGAATATATGAACAAAGTCGGGTAAGAATAACATACCATGTTAAGCTTGAACATTTCATATCGTCTTACATGATAAATAGATCTTATAGTATCATCTGTATATGGAAACGTTTCAAAATGACCTATCATAAAACAAAAACTATTATTTAATTTATAGATAATCACAAGCGATAATTTCACATAATTTTCCTATAACACACCCAGCCCATAGTCTCTCTGTTTATATATTCCACTGAGTCCTCCTATACGAAGACCCCCAAAATTCACAACTCCAGAACAACCGAGGTAGTAAATATTTTCACACACCCACCCTCCATAATACCTATTATTATTAAAGAAAAAAAATAAAGAAAATTTTAAAAAATCATATTCTAATATAGTCACCTCTCTCTAAACTGAACTTGACAAACTGAACACTTAATAAACTCCGGGTAAACTGAACTTTAAATTTTTATTATGAAGTTCGGTTTTAAGTGATACATTTGAAACTAAACTTTTTGTTATATAAAAACCATAAGTTCGGTATAGAGAGTTGACTTTATACGATATTAAAAAAGCCAATGGTTATGCTTACAATTCCCAAAGGTAGTTGCTCGCTTCATGATTCCCACCAATGAAAATTGTCGGAATTGGAGCTTTAAGTTCACCCGAATAATATTTATAAAATGTGCCCATTTCTTTGTAGTGATCCGGCATACTGGTAGAATCTAAATCTGTCCTATTTCGTATAGTCTAGATAATTTTTTTTTTTGGTTTTTTTTTTTTTTGCTTTGAACGCTGACGCGTAAATGATTTGCTAACATGCTAAACTTTTCAAACCTGAACATCTCCGCATATTAACAATAAATCAACTCTGATATTTTTTTCTTTTTCTATGTAATCAATAGTTTTATAAATCAACTCCAATTGGTTATGACAGCAACCTTCTATAGCGATCTAAAGAGAGTATATAATTTATGGACGTTCTTTCAGTGCTAATCGAAAAAAAAGGTTTCCGCACCTTCATTTTTTCTCGCTAAGGGTACGATAAAGACACTTTCACTTATGATGTCACTTTATCGAAAATTTTGTGACACTTAATTTTGGAAAGATCATCGAAAACCGTTCGTGGCACAATTCCACGTCTAAGCAGAGGCAACTCATGTTTAATATTTTTTTCGATTAACTTTAGGGTTAGGGACATCCTATATTAGAGTTAGGTAAGGTATTTGGCCATTATATATAAGCAA